TACTAATCCTTACGATTTCAAATTTTTATTTTTCTGTTCTGAAAGTATTTAAATAATAAAGTTGTACTTCCAGTGCAGTCTTCTTTATATGTTTTCTGTATTTTTAAAACATTATTAATATTTTCCTATTTGTTAACAATGACAGTGTTTTAGGTTCTTTATTTCTTCTTTTATTTTTCAAATTTAGTTTTCTATGCCCCAATTTATTTGCAATAACACTCAGCTTCTTAATGTCTTCAAACTTGTTCTCATATTTGCATATTATTAGAACACTTTTAGATGTTGATGGGCTCCATTCAAGTCGATTGATTTTCGATGTCGAGCCGATTGATGGGTTGATCGATCCTACACTATAGCGCAGGACGTGTTTTAAAAAATTGGGCCTGTTATGAGTTTCTTAATATATGGAAACATAGATTATATTTATATCATATTTATCATAAAAATATTTCATGTTAATATAACAATACGTATTAATATTAGTGACATTGCATTGTTAATGGTGATAATTTTGGATTTTTTCAGATAAATGGATTAAAAGTTTAGCTAATTGAATTTTTAGCAAGTTTTAAATTATAATAATTTAGTTTATGATTAATTTAGATATTACAAATCAATAACTTACTTTTATATGAAATTATATTTGAGACCTTTGAAATTTAATTTTTAAAGAAACACTTTGTGTTCTCGCCATAGACTAGAGAAATGGCATTAGAATAAGAGCAAGTTTAAGTTCAGTTTACTGTTCTGAGTCATCAGAAGTGTACTTGAGGGGTAGTATTTCACACTTCATTGCAGCTGTTTAAAGAAGAAATGGACCCAGCCTCCTCTATAAATTTCCAGTGTCTTCCCAAGTTGAGTCACAGTAAAACTTTACTGTAAAAATGTCCATTGTCCATTTCCCTTTTAAAACGCTGAAACATCTGTCTTTTTCCTTTTCCCTTCAGTCAAATTGTACTATTATTATTGTCTTATTCCAATGATACATAATACATCACCTACAATATCTATTTACATTTCCTCGTACCCACCAGCGGCCGAGCGGTAAAGTCGCTGAACACTGGTAGCTCGGTCCGAGGTTCGAATCCCGCGAAGGGCTGGCTGCATGGGTTTCGTGGTTTCCCCATTAACGTGTATCGAGCCATTTCCCCTAGAAAGCCTCCCACGAAGGCATCCTCCCTTAGCAGATAGCCCTCGTGCGCTTTGTCATAATTAAATACACCACCTCTACATTTCCTGTACTATAAAATGCATTTCAGTTAATGTATAAAAATTTAACATAAAAGTTAGGAATTCGAATATTTTTAGGAAATCATAAACAGGTAGAAACAAATTTTATTGATATGTATCCAAAGAGCTTTAAAAATGATTGTGTAATACAAAACGGAAATTTTTGGCCGCTTAAATGTTTGAGCATCTGTGTGTTCGTAGCCGTCGTAAAACTCTCCCCCTTTTTTTCGGACCTTGAATTCATTCAAAGATCCCTAAGCTGAACGGGAAATCTCTCCTTTCCCAATGTGGTGCCATAAATTCTTTGCATTTCCTGGACTACAGCGGCATTTCGATATGGGGGTGAGGAAAAGTCCTTTCATGCCACAATGATTTTTGTGTCCTTAAGAAAGAAAAGCACGTATTCTGGAGTTAGCAAATAATACGAATGATTCCCCCCTCCAGCTTATTACTGTAAAAAACAGAGAAAAAAAATCGACCCTCCTTTAACTTTTCCATTTTGTAATGTCAATCGTGCTTCTAAATCCAAAATGTTTCTATCCCTTACCTTGCCTCTTGGTGCGACTGCACAGGTATCGTTTTTACATTGTGAGATATACATTAAACACAGATTCTCCTTATTAATTTCTTTAAAAATAAACGGGTAAAAGTATGGTTGGCAACATTTGAAAAGTGAACGCCGTTATAGCGAACCAACGAAATACTTTATATTAAATTCTAAGATATTCACATTAATAAATTAATTTCAAATTGAATTAGGATGATTTTGGACTTGGAGTTTAATGGAAAAGCTAGTAAGAGATTCAATATGAACAAAATCAACGCTACCGAATGACATATTATGAAAAATTACGAACTGCAAATTTACCACGATTTCTCTTAATTTGCAAAGTCATACCAAAGTACCAGAATCCTGATAGCTATTTTTTGATTTATTGGAAAATATACTCCTGATTATATCATAATGCGAATTTACAGAACAAATATATATAAGATAAGTATTATAATAAAAGGTACAATTAATTTCCACTTCCGCGCTTTTTGATTGGGCTGCAAAAAAAAAAAAAAAAAAACTTTCCTTTAGGAGTCGCCTTTACTAATTTTCAGGGTGGAGCTAAGGAATACAAAGGAACTTTTCCTATTTCCGCTCACTGCTATCCCTAAACTGGGGTGGTAGGATGAAGATTAAGTTATATTTCATAGTCGAATGTGAAAACTTTGTCAAACACTTGAATTTAGCTGTTTTCAGGTGCTTTCAAGGGCCTCCATGCCCCTGCGTCATAAGAGAATTGCGTCATTGCACCATATAGGGAGGGGGCCCTTAAAAAACTAAAAAAAAACAAAATTCTCTTATCTACAATACTTAAAATTCTAAAGTTAAAAGTAAATTGGAGTCAAACAGGCTATCTCACACATATTAAATAAACAATCGTGTAAAAGGGACTAACAAAAAAATCAAAACATATCAAAATTAAAATATAGTAGTACAAATTCTAAAAATAAAAATGAAAAGCAAAAGGTAAAAAAAATACAAAATATAAAAATAATAATTAATCTTCTTTTATTGAAATTCTAATTCCGAATCTATCACGGGAAAATGAATTAAAACTTCTATATATATGTAATGGAATTCATCATTTAAGTGTAAACATGTAAATGTAGTTCAGCAGGACATGCGATGTCATTCCTTGCATACCCTTATTCCTTGCATACTCCACTGTGTCTGTGAGCTATACACATATTCAGTTTCATCAAAAACAACCACTTCCTTCATGGTGCTCCGATTTTTTGCATAAGAGTGTATTATACTCTATTCTATTTTTTTAAAAATGCATGAGTGGTTAATATCGTCTGTTGCCATGGTAACATTCCATCTCTCACGCTTTTATTATTATAAATGCTTTGAATGATCATGTCGCCATCTGGTGGCAAACGGTGGAGAACAGTCTAATAGGATTTGCAGGAATCAGATACAAACTCCCATTTACAGCACAACCCTATTTCAAAATAAGCAATCAAATTCATAGTAAACCTCCCCTCAAGAATAATCGTAATGTGCGTCGTCGTCATCATCTCACACAACGAATTAGGGGATATTTGCAAATTAGAGGATTAGATTTTTTATCAGCAGCAGTCGTTGCTGTGGTTGTGAAACATGATTTTTAGGAGGAAGAAATGGCTTTGGTATACGTATTCTAAAATAACAGACTATAAGTGGCCTACGTTCTTTTTAGAGGTAACAGGAAAAAAATCAGTTTTAAAGTTGGAGAATGTTATAAAATTAATGGAATTCCCCCCTACTGTGTTGTGCTCTTAAAATGAACTAAAATTGTTTCGATAATGCAGGGCTATACTTCTTTCCACGAAGCAATTTTAAAATTCCTATTAAATAAATTTCCCAGTGGATTATGGTAGTTTTTATGTCATTAGAGATTTAGCACATAAGATATTCACATTATTTCGATGTCGATTCTCCGATGTAGCTTCAGAGATAAAATCTTCTGAAATAATATTGTTACTGTTTACAGGTTCGTGGCTCTCTCTTAATTTATTACTCAGGATTAGCAGGAAAAAATTGACAAATTACTATAAATAATAATGACACACAGCAAAATAAATTGCTCTAAATAGCTCAAGGAGAACATAAACATTAAACCATTCCTCCTTGCCTCATGAAAAATACCCCAAAATCACTCTCAAAGCAAACTCTAAAACGCGATTCTCACAGCCGATTAGCAATAAACTCGATGTTTAAGTTATAAATGAAAGAAAATCTGGCTTCAGATCTCATTAGATATTCTTATCAAATTCGTCAGTTTTTAAAATCATTTTATGTTTCATACAAAACTTGTAGACGAATTCCATTTATAGGAATGATAAAAGAAGATAGTTATAAAAAATGTTTGGATAATAATAATCAGTAGCTTAGAAAATGATATGTATAATTTCAAAAATAAATACCAGAATGATTGTAAAGTTTGTGCTCTAGCTGCTTAACTTTAGTATAAGAGCGATTTAAAATTTTTTCTTTGAACTCCTGTACCATAGATGCATTATTATCGACAGATGGGCCAATTAAGTAACAATAATAGTAATAAAAAAATCTGAAAGCTTTCAGGTTTTATATTATGCCCAAAGGGGTGTCTTTTTAATGTTTCATGTGTTAATTTTATTTATTAAATATCATGTTCTTCGCAATTAAATTATAAAATTCAATCCAACAGCAATATCACAAAATAATTTTAAAAGAGCATATCATTAAAATTTAAGATATGCAGTCTCTCGCGCTGGAGATATGTTTTTTTTTTTTTTTTCGTACAGTGTTGGCATGTTCGTACAGTGTTTGTTAGAGTTTTACAGACTATGAAATAGATAATAAAAAAATTCCAAATTGGGGCTTCCAGATGCCCATATTCAGGTGGAGGACTATATTATTCAAAATTTGATGCCTCTAGGTACCGTTGATTTTTCACAGTGCGAGAAACATACATATATTCATGCATATTCTTCATTATTTAATTTCTTTAAATATAATGCAGGGCTCTAATATTTGGTGGAAACAATTTGAAAATGCCTTTTATAGCGAATGGAAATTGCCCCTTTGGGCTAAAAATGTAGATCTTGTGTGCTTTCACAGAAATGGAATGATATAAAAATAACTATATATTTTCTTTATTCTTGCCAACATGAGTTTCATCATTATTATTAATTTTCTTTTTCTGTCTCACATTTTAATTTTTAAATATTTTTAAACTTATTTTAATTCATTATTATGTTATGTATTTCCTTTTATTATTAAATATCATTATTGATTCTCCTTACAGCAGAAGGTGCAGTGTGTCATTCAGCGTTTGAGCATTGGTGGTTCGATGGGGATTCGAGTCCTTTCGAATGGACTGGCTGCGTGGAAGCTTTCGTGGTTTAATATAAATATGAGCCAGTTTATTTACAAATTCCTTCACGAAGGTATCCCTCTCGTTAGGCAAGTAGTCCTACGTCCAAATCCACAGTTCCCAACAACTTCACTTTTTATTTTGCAAATAAAGCCCTGGAAAAAAAGAAACAAGCATCGATACTTTCGCCCTCATTTGGTAGAAAACGAAATAATCAAACAAAATGATCTCTATCAAAATAGAATCTTTTTTTTTAAAAAAACCAACCAATCATTAACATTTTAGAATAAGTAAGAGCCAACTTCACGAAACAAAATATTTCTGATCGGAGAGAATGAACTAAAACTTATTATCTAAATGTACATCTATGTTATGCATAATAAAATTGTAATGCAGTTGATAAGTACAGAAACAAAGTTAAATAAAAAATACAGATATTATACAGCCTTTCCAAGAATATATAATTTTAGAACCACTCATACTACTAAATGCACTCAGATTCAAATAAATATCTAATTTAAAATATCGAAATAAAAATCTTATAAATGATAATAATTAGTAATCTTTCAACCATATTATTATATTTTTGATAAACTGAAAACAATTATTCAAAAGTAAAACGTGTTAGGCCATTAAAAAAAAAAAAAAAGAAATTTTATTAACTAAAAACCTCTTCTGCTATGGAACAGGTAAAATGTTCAATTTTTCAATGCCAAAAAGCTTTCAAAGATAAAGCTAAAATGTAAACAGATACAAAATAATAATTAATTAGCTGTTGGAAAAATAAAATTGATTTTATCTTCTATTAAAATTAAATTCCATAAGACTAAAGACCAATCATTTTTTAAAATATGCTTATCTTGAATTGAACATAGAGTTTAGAGAGACATTCATACTTTTGTTTAAATATTTCTGATCAAGTCGAAATTTGAATAATGTTTTAAAATTTTTTTTTTAGCCAATAGTATATCCTTTATTGAAGTTATTAACATCCATTACCTTTATTTTGAATTGTTTTAAATACATTTGTTTCGTATTCTTTTTTAAAAAGCCCTTAAGTAGCAGAAACAGGTATTGATTTTATATATTTACGACTTTATGCATTTATATTTTCTGTTCTTCCATCAATTGTTAACTTTTAAACTAATTTTTTTTCTTTCAAGATAATGATTTATAATATATATATAACATTCTTAGATTAAAAAAGCAAATCATATTTTATAATATATATATAGAGAGAGAGACAGAATTTAATGTGAAAATCACAGTTGCAAATGCTTTTAAATAATAAAATTGTTAATAATTAATATTTGCTATATTAATTATTAGAGAGTTCCATATTAGTTTTCTTTTTTTTAATTGACATTTTAATTTTATATACTGATTTAGAATGCGAAAGAACATTCTAAAATTCTAATCAAATTATATTTGTGCACTGTGAGCTACTAAAAAATATGATTAATACTACACGTATGCACATTTGCTCTAAAAATAAAAACACCCATTTTTCTTTTAATTTTAAATACTTAAATTCTATCGGCATACTAAACTTATCATGAACGTACTAAATTCTAATTTCACAAAGTTTTGAAATTTACATCAAACCTTCAACAAAGTTTCTCCGAGAAAATTATACAAAACTTTTTTAAATTGTTCATTACTACTCTATAATAAGGAATTAATATCAGAACATCATTTTAATAATAATAATTGCAGGCAATGAATTTTCAATTTTAAATCAGTAGATGTTAAAAATCCTCGCACGTCGAGCGAGCTATATTGAATCTGAGCGCGTCTCAGAAATTTACTATCGCGATTTCTCTGGAAAGCAAAGTAACCACTCAGCAAGCACGTGCCCGCCGGCATAGAGAGGCGTGGCGCAGTCTCTGACGCGCACCAATGAAATAGCCATCTGCTCACCTGATCATGGAACGATGTAATGTAGCGGATGTGGATGAATCCAAAATAAACAAGGGAACGGCCCAATCCTTAGTAATAATTAAAAAGCGCTTTATATTCCAATAATTATATATTAATGATTGAGGAAAATTTAGAAAAATTGTGCTTATTTTTTTCTAATTTTTACGCCTTGATCAGGAAAAATTTTGTACGTGACATTTAAGTGTGACGTGGTTTCGAGACTGTATGATACGATAGTGACGTACTTCCTCCTTCGCTGCTGAGGAAAAAGGCTAAGTTTGCCTAAGGCGTTCTACACGTTTTAAAAACCTGCTGTGTCGCGCATCATGGAACGCCCAAGGCGATTGTCGTACGCAGGATTGGTGAAGCCACCTCAACAAAAATCAAGAAGAGTGTCTGACGCTGGTCAAAGCGGAATTTATTCTCCAGCCGCGTGTATGACTTTGAACAGCGGCTCTACAATCCACACACCTGAACCTGTATCCACTATGTTACACGACTCTGGTAGGTACGAAATGAACCTAAACCGACCGACACGTCGTACCAGCCGGCCCAGCCGTGGCGATGATGGTTTTACATGCTCGCAGCAATCAGTCCTCAGTGCAATGGACAGATTTGTTAAAGCTGTAAATAACATGGATTCCACAGTTTTGGTGCCTTCTCGCCTTCAAGATATGGATGTTTGCAACGAGAACAGTAAGTTTTCTCGGTGCTTGCCTGCAGGCCTTAGCAATATAGATGTGTACAGATTTTATGTAATGCTTAAAGATGTGAAAAATGAGTTATTATGGGGGCCAACGTCTGTAGGCCCCACACCTTCGTTACCCAGCAGTGGTAGGTCATCCCCAAGCAGCAATAGGATAATGAAGCATATTCGTCAGCCTTCCGACGATAGTTTGGGCAGCACAGGCTTTCCATCTGACCAGGAAACAGATAGTGATATCGAGAGTGTTGTGACTGATCGGGACAGTATGGACGAACAGACCACAGCTTCTCCTGGTAATCATTTAGCTTCAGCTTTTCGCCACCATTTACTGGGACTGCATACAATTTTGCATGAACTGGCAGATTCAGCTGATTATCTGTCTTCCAGGTATCAAGAAGAAATAGAGGCTTCTTCCTTGTAACCTTTGAGATGTATAAAGTTTGTAAAATTGAAGTAACTGCTCAGCAAGTTCTTTGTGATATTAATGCTTTATTGCATAATGGTAGCAAAGTTCTGCTGTATGACAAACTGTTGAACTCTTGAATAAGTGAAAAAAGTCAAGGAAACCCATGTTCAGTACTATTTAAGAACCAAGGCATTATTTTGAAAATTTACCACTTCTGTAAATGCAAGAACTATGCATTTCCCAAATAGCATCATTGCATCTTGTAATTGCTTTTAGAAAATATTACAAAATTAGTTTCCACTGCTTTTTGTCACAAATATTGAATGAGCAACAGGTCCCGGTGTAAATTTTGATGCTGTAAGATTTCATCCAGCTTTCTAGGTAAATTGTGTATTTCAGTATAAATTAAATTGTTCTTGCCCTTTTTTCCCCTCTAAATTTTGAAATAAAATAAAATGTCGTAAAAAGTTAAATTTATTAAATGTTGCAATTGATATTGTTGAAAAAATTAAAATGCTAGTTCTTTATGCCCTGAAAATTTTTCAGGGAGTTTGAGTTGCTGTTTTTGAGTAAAAATAATTATGGAAGTATAATATCTTGAAAGCAGTTCCTAGTCTTACTTTATTTAAATTTTTTGACATTCCTAACTTTTCTGAAGTGTAATTAGTATATTTATTTTAGTAATGTATTCTATATTTGTTAGGAACTTTTAACTGCTGATTTCAAACTATGGTCATTGCTGGCTGAGTTACTGTTCATATGTGTTATAATGCTGCAAACAGAATGTCAGAAATTTTGTATAGAGCATTATTGAATTCAGACCATATATGTGAATTTAAGCTTAATTAGCCCACATAAACCAGTTGTGAATATTTATTACAAGGGTTAGTTACTGGTCCTATATTTTGAAGATGAGACAGTTGTACTTTGTATGCTGAACATGTAATGCTATTCGAATTTCTGGCATTATTCAGAAGAATAGATTCCAATCTAGAATTGATATTAAGCTATTATCTGTTTTTAAATATGTTTCATTCATTTTATATTCATTGTTAAAAATTAATTCGACAGTCGTAAAAGGCATTCTTTTCGCATTAAAAATAAAGTGTTTCATAAATAAAAGAATTTTTAATTTACTTTGTAAGGGTAGTAATTTTTTAAAAATTCTTAAAGTTGTGCATCTTTTGTCATCTAAAACTATTCATAAAATTTGAAATGTTGGAATAAGAGTCAAATACCATTAACATTTCATTTATTTTCAATTAAATGTTTTTGTAATTTAAGTGCTTTTATATAGTATGTTTTAATTAAAGTAATTGTGATACTAAACAGATAAAATATACTAATTAATGTGAAACTGAACCATACAGCATATTTATAAAATTTAAAGTCCCACATTAAAAATGTCCTCTCGCATTTCATTGTAAAATATTTCATGTTTTCATTTTTGTTTGAATTTTATTTTAAAAAATGCAAATTAATATAACTTAGCCCAAATGACCTTTTTTGAAGTGTAAAAATATAGCGTAAGTTTATTATGTATTTAATTTCTCTGCATTATATTTATGTACAGCATATTTGTTTTTTGTTCAGTTTCAAAATAAACTGGTATTCCCAGAGATAAGCTAAAAAAATTACTAGTTTTTTAACATATCGTTTTGAGAGAATACTAAAAACTTGTTAGTTAAGCTTTTTGACGTGTTTCTGATTATGTGATTTGTCAGGGAAGTTTTATGAATCAAGTATTAACTGTAACTGACTTGACTGATTTTCAGATAATTAATATCATTGTAAAACCTTTACTCAAACTGAAGAGAACTTTGTTTGAATTTGAGACTTCCAAATTAAGTTTTTGTTCAGGAGCCAAAGTCATTTGATAATAAGACTTTGAATTTTAATACAGTTATTTATAATTTAATATCTGATTGTGTGTTGATAACATTAAGGCATATCATTCATGTTATTTATGCAAGTACATATATGGCATATTTGCAAATTAATGTAGAATGGCACTTTACAACCAACATTTGTTGTAGGCTTAACCTGAGATCGTTAACTGGGAAGGATAATGAAACCGTGTTCTGTTCTTATAAACATGGGCTCACTGCCACCACTTCTCATTAGCTACTTATATTAATGGGAAATTTCACCTATAGACATTTTGCATGCCAAACTACATGAACCAAAGATCATAATTCTGCATTAATGAAATGTTGTTAGCATTTTAAAATGTCTGTATATTGATGGTCAATCTAATAAATTTAAGCTATTGATAGATGTTTTGCTTTCTTATAATTCTTTTAAACATATAAATCAGATCTGAATTGGTTATTTTTAGCTGATTATTTAGCCTCATTATGCATCAAACATTCACTTATTCAAAATATTTTCCTTTTAATTATATTTAGCATAAGCATGGTGTCAACAGTTATGTTATTTTTTAAGGTAAGAATTATGTTTTAAGCATCATCTAAAAAGTGTTGGGGTAAGGTTCTAGACTTTATAAATTGCATCGAATTCTTACTTAAAATAACTAGTAAATATGATATATAGTATTTGTACATGTGAACATAATCATTATTGCTTTAAAGATAGCAGCCGTATCTTCGTTAAAGCAGTTGTTGGTGCAGATTTTACTAAAACTCATTTAAAATATTGCACAGTATCAATTTAAAAGTAATATCATGGAAAGAATTTATTTGAATTTTATATATTTAAAAACTGGATAGCCATATAATGTTGCATATTAAAAAAAAGTAGCAAAATAAAAATTAGTGTAACACTTAATGTTGTATACAACAAATAAAATTAGGTGCATATTTAATATATTCCATGTTGAACAAAAAATCTATCAACTGACGGTCACAGCTGACTAGTGTAAGATTAAACACCAGTGTAAAGTTAGAATTGAACAAAATCAAGGTGGAGGGAATTAAAAGCAGTAAAAATGTGTTGTAAAATTTTATAACTTGGCTCATCTTATTTTTTCTTGGCAACATATATGCTTGTTTTATGTTGATACAAATGGTGAATTAAGCCATAATTAATTGTGTTTGATTTGATAAATATTTCGTATGTTTAAGAAAAATTAATTTTACAAGTTTGTGATCCAAGGCTTTCTGTCTGAAGAAATCATCCTAATCAGCAATCATTATTTGAGAGAAATGATGATCTTTAGATTTACTCTGAAGCTTATTTCTTTCATTATTAAACTGCGTAGATACTTTTAATATATACATGTCAAGAGATTTATTTTCCTCTGCAAAGCACACATATTTAAGTAAAACAAACTAAATGTTCCTCCTTTTCACACTGTTTTTTCACATTATTAGAGCCGTGGCAATATTGTCATAATTGTTTACAATCATCATTTTTAAAATCTGATAATTAGCATCACATATCTGCTTTTGCAGTTGCTGTTCTTTGTGTCTCAATGTCGCTTTATCATCATGATACAGTTTCATGAAATTAATGCTTTATGAAAATCTTGTATTGTACTTAGATATTTTAAGATTACCATTATCATTTACGAGAAGCTTTTCTTTAACTGGTCCAAATTAATTTTAGTATCTTTACTAGCAGTTATAAAACTGAAAATAGTTGATCTCGGAGTGCATGTTTGCAAGCACAATTTAAGTTGATAAAAGTATTTTACTTAAAGTAATTTTATTAGTTGTTATTCTTGGTATGTCTGTGCAGATGTTCATATCTGTAAGGCATCTAAAACAAAACAAAAACGAAATTCCTGTTTGAGGTGCATTATATACAAGCATAATAAATTTTCAGATTATAAAAATGCTTATTACTTATGCATGTAGTGCATAAGAAACTAAAAATTAACAAACTTCTTCATCATTATGAACATTAATGCAATCCAATGTATTTATAAAGAAATCAGCTTCACTTCTTTATAATAGAAAATTTTTCCTGTACTTGTGTTATGATATTATAAAGATGAGTATATATTTTTTTTTTTTCTTCTTAACTCCAGTTTGCGCATACCTATATAATCTTTTTTAACTTATCTCTGTGTAAATGGAAGTTTCTGTTATTAACTCGTAGAGCATCCAGATGAGCAATTTTCACTTTTTTTCAGTATTTGCTGACGTGCCCCTGTAGTAACTTGTATAGTTTTGGCAGTTGTCCTTTTCAAATTTTTAAATCGTCTCTTTCCTCAATAGCAATTTTTTTTTGGTAGTTCATATAGGTTATGATTAAGTTTTTTCCTGAATTTCCAGGAAGGATTTTTTTTGGTTTGTCTTAATTTTGAGTAGATTTTCTTACCATTATGATTGGAGATCAATAAGTAGACTCAAAATTCAGCCATTCAAAGATTTTGCACAAATTATAAATGCAAGATCCAACTTTTCAGTTATTTTTAAAGCAAGCACTTTAGTCCAATTTTTAAATGTTTCAAAAGCTCTAGAACAGTTATTTATATAAATCTATCCAAAATATATTTAACCCTCTTTCAACCATCTTAAAGGTCAGCTCTGAAGCACCCAAATTTCTTAAAAATGCCTTGGAAAAAAGTTGTCTTAATATTAATTATAAAATGCTCCTGTTTTATATCTGGATTCCTTTTCATTAAATAACATCCTTAATTGTTGGGACAGGTTTTAAAATGCATATGTGCATAATTATTTAGAAGCATTGGTAAAAATTTTTTGGACATATATGCCTTGGCCAGTTAGGGGATAAACTAATTCTGCATGGTGTTTAAGTACTGTGGTAACTGAAAGGCTTTGGCCTGTTTTATTAACAATGGCTTTATTTTTGGTAATAATCTCATTTCTGCAATTCATCAAATGAATACTTCTTTTCTGTAAGGTTAAGTTTAAGGTAAAGCAATTTGAGGGCTATTTGCATATGAGGAAGGATGCCTTCATGGAAGACTTTCTTAGGGAAATTGCATTGTATCTATGTTACACATAGGAAGAAGCATGAAAATGTTCATGCGGCTAAGTCTGTTTGCCATTTTTCAAACTTGGTTTGAAGTATAGGTGGTTAGTGTCTGCTAGTGAGCTTTCTGTTGCTTAGTTATTTTTGATATTTTACCCTTATTAACTAAAGCTACTTATTATATAGATACATGAACATAAAACTGACATGGAACTTTATTGGTAAGTCTCATCAGTGATTATTTTGTAAATGATAAAATTTAATATTATAATGAATCCTGCATTAAATAACCAAAGACAAATATGTAAAGCAGTGACACAGAATGGGATATCTATAGCTGTAGAATCCACACTGGAATGAGTCTTTCTGTGAAATGAGTATATGCGTGATTTGGATGGCAATGACTCTATTAAGAATATCTACATTGAGAGAAGTCTGAGCTTTTCTTATTTAAACAAAAATGGTGCATAAAGCAGGTGCAGAGATTATTGTAAAAGATTTTTAAGTGCACATTAAAAAGCTGGAACTTGATTTTTATAAAACTAAAATATATATTGTTTGGTCCTCAGTTTCTAAATTCATTCTTAAATTTTTTCTTGTTACAATGTTTGTACAATCAATACTTTATTCTGTTAAAGTTTAGATATATAAGCTGCCAATTTGCATTATCTTTGCAATTTTTCTCGAGTTTCTGTGGATCTAACTGAGCTTTTTATAGTTTCAATCCAGTAAAATTATAGCTTAAATTTGTTGCTGGGTTCTTCTAAAATTTTGATGTGGTATAGTTGATCTTCTGATTCAGTTTTGTTTCAGAACCTATCAAATGTTCTTTGTTAACCCAACCCTTCTGAATTTAGAATGACCTGGAAGGTTTTTCTGTTACTTGTGTTTAATGTTCAGTTTTAACTTATGTTAATGGATTAGAATATGCAGGATTTAATTGTACTGTAATATAAATCATTTAACAAATTGCAGGATTAACTTAGTCCAAATTAGCAAAAAATTTGTGATTATTTTATACATTTGAAATTTGATTTGAATTTAAAATTATGAATTTGACTGTAAATATTAGATCAGAAAAACAAATGAGATTTCAAACTTTATTTCCATGATGTATATTTTGAATACATGTTACAGTTAAGAATTCTTTTTTTAAGTAAAAAAAAAAAAAAAGAGTATGTAAATAGGCATTAGATAAAATAAGAATAGAAGAGTTTTCCTTAGAAACTCCTCTGCAAAAGCATTTCTCTCCTCAAGCACATAACAGTAGTGTTTGATGTAATGTAATATCTTCATTGGATAAAAGCCAATTTCTTTGTGTAGCATCATTTTGGTGTAGGAAGAGTAACTACGAAGGTTTATTATTTTAAAAGTATTAACAATACAATTTTCATTGCTATTATATATTTGAAAACTTTAACATTCATTTAATATAAAGTCTCATCTTGCAAAGTTTAATTTTGAGGCCTGCTTACAATTTTTATACTGGGAAGCAAATTACAGTTGAACTTTAATAAACTGAAAACCAATAGACCAAAATTAAAAATAATTAATTGAAAATTTAAGATATCAAGAGAAGATATCATTAATTTGATGTTCCAGTAGTGGAAGTGGTTAAAGCATTGAATGATTGTTGTTTAACCCCAGAACTAATGGGCTGGCTGCATAGTTGGTTTTCCACATTGTGTAACATGATTGCAAGCCAGTTTCTCTTAAGTCCTCCAAGATGGCATTTCTTCCTTTAAAAAAGACAAGTCTCGTTTGTGTTGCCATATTGTCTCCTCAAGCTGCCAAGGGTTTGACCTTGAAATCTGAAGTTGCCACAAAGCTCCTGAGCTGGTAGTATTTACTTAATTATAATTCCAAAATGGCCCTCCCACTTCTGTACTGTGATGTCTTTTCTTCTATTAAATATGCTACTTGGCACATTTCAAGATGCATACATGTTTACTTAAAAGAATTGTGATAAATATTCATGAACTTATGAAAATGTTTTATTTCGTACAGTGTTGCCACTGCTCGCTTTGAAATCGTTGAGTTTGTTAATCAAAAATTCGTTAAAGTGTTACAAAATATGAAATTGATTGTAGAGATGTTAGGATTTTTTAGAAGCAGACAAGATGAAAAATAAGCAATCGCCTTTACCGGGAATCGAACCACAGACCTCTAGAATACCGGCCCAGCATGCAGAACCACTACCTTGGTCATTTAAAGATCTGGATTAGCCTAACCTAATAATTTATATAAACTTTAATGTTTAAACATCCAGTCCAACTTTAGAAATGTATATGGTTAGCATCAATTTTATGTTTTAATTAACATTAATTTCACGGTTTCAATTTGATTTACTGAAGATAAAATTGACAGATAAATTCC